TTGACATCTGGGTTGAGTCCTAGCTCTACCACTATTTTAGATGTGCTAATGTCAAATTACCCATTCTGTGCCTTTCTTCTAAAAACGGGGATAATAACAGCATCTACCTTATAGGGCCATGAATAAGTGAGTTGATATATAAAAGGCTCAGAGTGCCACCTGCCTATAATAAGCCCCCTTTATGTGAACAAAGGGGGGAAATCAGCAAGAGTTAAGTGATGTACCTGACTGTTGAAGAGAGGGAGGAGGAGGTTTTACAGTAAGTCCAAGGTAAGAGTTTAGGTAGTAGAAAGATTACTTGCCATACCAAAAGAAATGTGAAAAATGAAAATGTTGCAGCATTATTTGTATTAACAAAAGATGACAAATATCCAAAACATCCCTTTTGTAGGAGGTGAGGCACATTCATCTAACAGACCTTAATAGAGCACGTGTTAAATCAAAAGGGAGGTTTTATTTGTTAATGTGGACTATCTCAATGCATACTTTTTTTCCTTTACTATACCCCCAGCCCATTTTATTTTGAGACAGAGTCTTACTAAGCTACCCAGGCTGGCCTCAAACTTGTGATCCTCCTGCCTCAGCCTCTTGAGTAGCTGGGGTTACAGGTGTGCACCACCATACCCCACCTTCCCAGATTTAATATGCCTTCAATGAAGAGCAAGGTTTGAAACAGTATGTGTAGTAAGTTACTATGTAAAAAGAATTGACTTTTCACTGAGTATTTTTTCTGTAACTTTTGAATTTGAATCTTGTAAGTCATATATATATACACATATATATTTTGTATATATACATATAAATTTTAAAATTAGATTTTAAGTGAAAGTATTGGGGAGTTTGTCACTTGAGGGAAAATGTCTTAAGGACAGAGGCCATGGACTATGTGCCCAGAAACTATTTGGAAATGTAAGCTCCAGTTTTGCTTTTTAGGCCAAATGTCCATTGAGTTATCTTCCTATTCTCAAATTTTAAGAAAGGCAAAGAAATAGTATTAAATCACTGTTTTAAATGTCCAATCAACTGCCATCTTACTAGGTTCTGGTGAGCATTTCCATGGGTGCCCTGCTCTCTCCTCCTGCTCTCAGGCTGGTAAATCACCTAAAGGTAAAAAGACAACATTCTGTGTTTGGAACTGAATTTTAGTTATGAAAATAAATATGTAAATACACATTTAAATGAAGAGGCCTATGACAGAGGGATAAACTAGGGGTTCAAGTTATGCCTGATGGCAAGGGCTGGTCAAGAAAGTCTCAGACATGAAGTAGCATTGGCACAATTTGGTGCAATCATTACAAGATCAATTTAATAGGCAAGGATCTTGGAAATGAGTGTTCAGGCAGAAGGAAGGGAAGAGGAAGAAGGAAGGTGGCAGGTGTGATGGTCTATTCAGAGAGCAGAATGTCATCTTCCAGGACCAGGAAATTGTATGTTTTTGTGTGAGCTCAAGATGTTTTTGTGTGACCATGTAAGGAACAGCTCTCATACACCATGACTATCTTCTGGGTCTCCTTGATTATGGACGAAAGCTTTCACGTGTGAGTGGAATAGTTTAGCAAACAAGTTTGCAAATAGCATGAGTTGACTCCTGAGAAACAGCCCAATGGTGGCACACATAGGACATGTTCTTGAAGAGATGAAGAGGTGAGAAAGGAGATGACAGGGACCCTAAGGACACTGAGACTTAATTGGATCCAGGCTGAGGTTGGAGCTCAGGAGAGTCTTTTGGTAAAAGAACCATAAAGCTCTGGACAACCAGGTTGACTGTTGGGATTTGGCCTTATTTCTGCATCCTGTATTTCTGTAGCTTCAGCAACCAGCCTTTGCTCCTAGGCCACTGCCCTGATTTTGGGTGGGCTTAGCACCCTAACCACATTAGGTGCCTCTGTGTTGTTTGTATCCTGGAACTCCTGTCTCTGGAAAAGCAGCTGACTGTTCCCAAGTGCCTTGTTCTATGTCAGTGCAGAACAGTGTGCAGAACTGGCTTGAAAGCCCAGATTAAGGGGAAAATCTAATTTTCCTGACTAGTGACAAAAGTTACCCATGGAGGATTAGGGCCCTTGGTTTGTCAGTTGCCTCCATACTGTGCTTGGGCAGTCTTGGAGGGCTGAAGGGAGCCCTTTGGCTTACCTGTCATATGAGTGCTGGGGGCTCTTGCTTTGTTTGCCATTTGGTGGGACAGTGCCAGTGTTCTTGTTTACCTTGCCCCCCGCATAGTGCCTGTCATGTAGCTCCTTCTTGAGTATGTAGACTATGTAATCACATAGGCTGCATCATTTAGAATGCTGTTAACATCACCTAAATATAGCATTTTTATAACACAAATGGATCAGGCGGCTCTTTGGGCTTGAAACCTTGATTCAAATAATGTGCTTATTTATCTTTCACAATTGGAAGAATACCTCTCCCATCTTGAATAGAAAAGAACATTTTTTTTTACTCTATTTGAATGCATTCAAATATATATTTGCGGTTTTGCCTTATTTCTGCATCCTATATCTCTACAGCTTCAGCAACCAGCCTTTGTTCCTGGGTCACTGCCTTGATTTGAGTGTATATCAGCCCAGACTAAGGGAAAAATCTCATTTCCTGAGTAGTGACAAATGTTACCCATCAAGGATTAGGGCCCAAATAAATAAATAAATAAATAAATAAATTCAAGATTTATATTTGAATGCATTCAAATAGAGCACCAATCAACCAACTTATTTAGAGCCTCCTTTATGTGCCAGTCAGCATATTAAATGTTGGGAGTTAAATACTAAAATAGGTAATGTCCCCAACAAAGTCCTCAATGAGCTTGTTCTCTGGTGAGTTAGAGGAAGGAGCAGAGCAAATGCAAACACAGAAATACTGAAAAATTTAGTAAGTGCTATGACAGAACTCTATTTGGTTATTCGGGAACCCCAAAGAGGGTATTTTATCTGAACATGGGAAGCAAGGAGCTAGGGGAAGTAGTGACACCAAACTGATGTGGGGGAGATGAACAGGCAGAAAGAGAGAATGCTTGGGCAGAAGAGTGTTAGGATAAGTAGGAACCAGAGCATTGAGCTAAAAAGCAATCAATTTGATGTGTTTGTGGAACTGGAATCCATCTGGTACAGCTCACATGGTGAGGTTAGGGGTGCTGAGGGGAGGGCTAGGGAGACAGGCAGGGCTAGATCACAGGAAGCTTTTTATTGCAATGACTTCATCCCTGGCAGAGAAGTTGAAACAGGGAAGTCACATAATTATCCATGTGATTTCTAAAGATCAGGCCAATAGCTGCATGGCAATGATCAAAGAGACTAGGATCAGAGAAAGACAGGAAAACTGATTGGAGTGCAGGTGCCCTAATTCTGGCACACACTGATTGTGGCCTGGACTTGAGAAGGCAGACTGTGGGAAGGTGGGCCATATTTCTCACTTTATGTCTAATCCAAATCACTTTTTCTTTTTTAAAATTTGTGACATTTAGGGTATTAATTTTAAAATATTTTCTTTGATTCTATGTCCTTTCCCCATCTACACTATTCCTACCTATTCTTGGCATAAACATTCTCTCCTTGGGGAAGCCACCTTCAACCCCCTGGATTGGATGTTCCCCAGCATCCTGAAGTCTCCAGGGGTAGCTCACACTGCACTTGCTCTTAATTACTGGAGCAGCCGCCCATCTCCTCTGCTGGATAGTACACTTCCCATGGGCTCCTTGAAGCTGTCAAGACACTAGTGTCTAATCCAGTGCATGGCACATAGTGGGTGCTCCATAGTTTGTTGAATGGATAATACAATAATAAATTATTAATTCTAATAAGCAGGTTATTTTATCAGGAAGACCTAGAACTTTTAAATTTATTCCAAGATAAAGGCTGTCAGGGACCCTAAGGACACTTGAGAATTAGTTTCCATAGTGCCTTGTGTTTAGGAGTAACAAGTAGCAATTAATAAGCAGAGTACTGGCTCTTAGTATAATTTCAATTAGTATAGATACCATGCTATACTTATAATGGATTTCATAAACTAGAGAGATGAACAGCCATTTTTTAAACAAGCATTTATATAAATGGTGAGATCAGTTCTCTAGCTCTTAATTTTGAAACACCAATTTATTTAACTTAAAACTGGAGAGCCCTTAAAATGTGGCCCCCTCCTCTTAGTTGTCCTTATTTCCAGAGCTTTCTACTTGGAAAGTCTTGGACTCCACTAGGCCTGGTTCCTGTCCCCTGTGACTCTTGTGTCAGCAGACCACTTGCAGTGATTGCTCTCAGGAGGCATGCTTCATCCTCACCCTTCTCAGGTGTTCAAGGTCTGGTTTGCCACCAGCTTCAGTACAAGAGTAGGCATTGTGACATTCTTCTTGGCTGCTATAGAGATTTTAGAAGTTCATCTCAGCTACAGCTCAGTCCAGAACATCTCTTCTCTGGGGGAGGAAACTTGCCTGGTGGAGCAGATCTTCCCACCATGGCCTGGAGCTGCCTCTTGGTTTTAGCATTTCCCTCCTTTCCCTTTACAGAAACACACAGATTGCAACTCAACACCTGATTCTGCATTTTTTTTTTTTTGCTTTGGTTGTCTTATACATTTATTCCCACCCATCTGACAAGGTAGTGTTCCAGACGCACAATTGTGGGTGAACTCCCTGCCCCATTGGCATGGGGTGCTGTGTATGTGGTCATAGAAGCCGAGTGGTACACACTTCCTGTGGAATGCACACTGTAGCCAGGGACTATTTCATTTACCTTGGCCTGCTTGATCCTGGAGGCCCAGTCAGGACTTCTGCAGTGACTCCAATCCAGACAGCTTAAGTAATAAAAGATGTTTCTGATGTATGCCACTCCACCCCCAGCTTTGGGGGAGGCTCTCCCCTGAATAACTGGCACATTGTGTTGACAGAAACTACAAGGACTTGATCTGTATTCAGAGACACAATGACACGTCATGATGGCACGTGTGTGTGTGATGTTTTTATTTTTCTTCCTGGTTTTCTCACCATTCAGTTTATCTGTTTTCCCTCTTGTTAGGATCCCCTCCTGCGATCTCTTTCCCAGTCACTTTGAGTCTGGCCTAATCGAAGGCTGAGGTTATGAAGTCGATCCTAGATGGCCTTGCAGATACCACCTTCCGCACCATCACCACAGACCTCCTCTACGTGGGCTCGAATGACATCCAGTACGAAGACATCAAAGGCGACATGGCATCCAAATTAGGGTACTTCCCACAGAAATTTCCTTTAACTTCTTTTAGGGGCAGTCCCTTCCAAGAAAAGATGACTGCAGGAGACAACGCCCAGTTAGTCCCAGTAGACCCGGGAAACAACATTACAGAATTCTACAACAAGTCGCTCTCATCCTACAAGGAGAATGAGGAGAATATCCAGTGTGGGGAGAACTTCATGGACATGGAGTGCTTCATGATTCTGAACCCCAGCCAACAGCTGGCCATCGCCGTGCTGTCCCTCACACTGGGCACCTTCACGGTTCTGGAGAACCTGCTGGTGCTCTGTGTCATCCTCCACTCCCGTAGCCTCCGCTGCAGGCCTTCCTATCACTTCATTGGCAGCCTGGCAGTGGCAGACCTTCTGGGGAGTGTCATTTTCGTCTACAGCTTCGTTGACTTCCACGTGTTCCACCGCAAAGATAGCCCCAACGTGTTTCTCTTCAAACTGGGCGGGGTCACAGCCTCCTTCACTGCCTCTGTAGGCAGCCTGTTCCTCACGGCCATCGACAGGTACATATCTATTCACAGGCCCCTGGCCTATAAGAGAATCGTCACCAGGCCCAAAGCCGTGGTGGCCTTTTGCCTGATGTGGACCATCGCGATTGTAATTGCTGTGCTGCCTCTCCTGGGTTGGAACTGCAAGAAACTGCAATCTGTCTGCTCAGATATTTTCCCACTGATTGATGAAACCTACCTGATGTTCTGGATCGGGGTCACCAGCGTGCTGCTGCTGTTCATTGTGTACGCATACATGTATATTCTCTGGAAAGCTCACAGCCACGCAGTCCGCATGATTCAACGTGGAACTCAGAAAAGCATCATCATCCACACGTCAGAGGATGGCAAGGTACAGGTGACCCGGCCGGACCAAGCCCGCATGGACATTAGACTGGCCAAGACCCTGGTCCTGATCCTGGTGGTTTTGATCATCTGCTGGGGCCCTCTGCTCGCAATCATGGTGTACGATGTCTTCGGGAAGATGAACAAGCTCATTAAGACGGTGTTTGCCTTCTGCAGTATGCTCTGCCTGCTGAACTCCACCGTGAACCCCATCATCTATGCTCTGAGGAGCAAGGACCTGAGACATGCTTTCCGGAGCATGTTCCCCTCATGTGAAGGCACTGCGCAGCCTCTGGATAACAGCATGGGGGACTCGGACTGCCTGCACAAGCATGCAAACAACACAGCCAGTGTTCACAGGGCTGCAGAAAGCTGCATCAAGAGCACGGTCAAGATCGCCAAGGTGACCATGTCTGTGTCCACAGACACGTCCGCCGAGGCTCTGTGAGCCTGATGCCTCTCTGGCAACACAGGAAAAGAAATTCTTTTTTTTTTTAAGCTCAAAACCTAGAAGAGTCTGTCGTCTCATTGGTTATATTTTTTTAAGTTTACCATGCTCAGTGAAAAGGTGATTGTCACCATGCTCATTTATCAGTTCGTTGACATTTCAATAGTTTAGGTACTCAAACTCTGTTCTCCAGGGGTTTACAGTGAAGAATGCCTGTTGCTCAAGTGACTGAATGGTCCTTCAAAGTCTCAACGAAATAGGAGGGAAACCTTTGGCTACATGATTTTAAGTCTAAAGTACCCATAGAAAAATGCCATCAGATGAGTAATGCCTTTGTAACCACAACTTTCATTATAAATGTGACGTGTATTTGTTCATAGTATCAGAGGTGTCAATTTTTACAACAGTTATAGCACTAAAGTAGAGATATTTTGTAAAATGTATTGTGTCCCGTGAGTTGTGTGTCAGTGTTTCCTATGTGTTGTGTATATTTGTCTAGTTAAGCAAAACGAAAAGGTTGACTTTTATGAGAACAATGGAACACAGCAGTGGATATATGCCAATGAGACCACTTTTCAAAAGTATTATTGCCCATGATCTAACTTTAGAAACCTTAATGTTTCTTGAAATATCTAAATTTGACACTGAGATACCTAAAGGTTTATTTTTCTCTTAAGACAACAAGAAGAATTTGAAGACTGTCCAAAGTATTGAGCAGAATTCATTGACACTTAAAAATTGGTTAGCCCTGCATTTTCATAAGAGGACACTTATCTTCTGGATCATAGATGTTCTGTTGGGTAATGGATTATAATCAGAATGGAAGAGAGAAAGCATATTGACTTTTTTTAGGCTGACATCTCTGACTTTCTTTAGTCGTTAGCTAATTACTGAACCTCTTAAGACAGCATGTGTCAATCTTAATGTATATTGTATCTCTGTGCAGTTGCTGTTTACTTGAAGAGTATTGCATTCTTCTATTCCAAGTGTAAGTAGATTCCATCCCTGGGTGGTCAAATAATAGTCTTTTTTTTTTAAATCAAAGTATTGTCTGGATCAGTAAAATTATACTGTGTGTGTATGTGAATATAAATGTGTGTATATGTGTGTTTCTATCTTGTACTGTTAACAGCAGTGTCATAAAGTGAGACAACTGTGACCAAGTGTAAACTGTACCACTTGCTGTACTCTTGCACATGAATTCAGTTTCTAAAATTGAGTTCTTCCAGAAATCTTCTGATAAAAATTCTGAGAAAATCATTCAGAGAAAATTCTCCTCCTTGAGAGAGAGATTGAATTAATAAATTGACCTTTAGATATTATGTGAGACCAGTTCATAACAAGAAGTAATCAATGACAGGTTCCCAAGTAAAGGTTTGTATTTACAGTATTACTGTGGGGGAAATGAGAGTGTTTGGGTTTCTGAGCACCTAATATTTACCAAGGTTATGGAGATATAGATCATTAAAAAGTAAGATGGTTCTAAAATCCCCAAACAGTAATGTTCGTTAGTTTGTGTATAGGTAGTGTGACCCAAGTTTCATCAGCATGGTATACCTCACACTACAGTAGCACTGCCAGGTCCAGGTCATGTGGCTTAGGGAGGCTGAATCCAACAGTGGCAGTGAAGAGCCACCACACCTGGGGCTGAGGCCTGGGCCATGGATGCTGTTTCTCTGCTTTGCCCAGATGTCCTTGGTGTTAGCCTGGCACCTGGCTTTGTGTCAGTCATTGTGGAATAGCCTTTTCCTCTGCTTCCTGGTGGCAAGATATGCTAAAGCCTAAGCTGGCTTGCTTTCTACTGATGCCCCAATCTCAGACTCCTTAATGGTACCATGGGTGCTCAGAATTGAACCCTTTTCCAGTAAGGAAAGATACTGCTTGAGAAGCCACTTAACCCTGACAAACTTTACTTACTTATAATCTCTCCTTATACAGATAAAGCATGACTCCTAGAGAACATGAGGCCTGCAATGCATGAAAGTGAAGACCTAGTGTCTATCTGGTGATTTCTAGCTCTCATGATACCCCAGCAGCCTGGTGGGGTGGTTCCACTTCTTGCAGTTTATGTTCTAAGATGGAATGGGGCCCATGGACCAAGCTAGGATTTAGCTAGAATCTGCCTGTTGGCTCCCTCACTTTACCTCTGTGTGAAATGAAGCAAGGGCTCAGGGTGCTGGAGGATTAAGATCTCTTTAGAAGGAAAGAAAATGATTGACATAAGGATTCACCAGAGTCTAGTTTCCATTTAAGAATTTCCAGTCTTTTGTCCTGGATCACTCTAAATATTAATCTGCATGTCTTAGAGCTCACGAGGCAGTACCAACTCTTTTCTCACAGCTATGAAGACCTGGTGGAGAGGAAATTCTTATCATAGATATAAAAAATTCAGAATTCATTTTTGAAACTGTATTTGTGTGAATGCCATGTAGATTTTTTAGTATGTTGTGCTTTTAAGACCTAAATCATATATAATAAATTAAGGGACAATGGGGCTGACAGCACTAAACTCGGTGCTTATTGATATTTTAAGAAATATCTGTGAAATATCATCACGTGTGTGTTATACTACCTTCATTTAAAAACGTTTAAAATGAGTTGGATTCACTTTGACACTTCTCATATCATTTCCTAACCCAAGTGACTAAGATGTTCTCCCCAATGAATATACTCATTAGAATTACCATTCATTAGTATCATTCATTAGCTGATCCCTTAATTATATCCATTAATTTAAATACAGTTTAAATTTAAGTATTTATAAGCTCTGGCATCAGAGTCCTCTACTGTCCCCCTAAGATGACATATTTGTCCTCACCGTGCATTCTGTCATCACTTGTTTTCAGAAAGGGCCAAATTCCCAGCCCACTCAATTTCTTCATAATAATGATGATTCAGTCCTAGACTAGCAGTTTCATTTAGAACAGTCAGGTTGTCTCCAAGAACCTCTAATTTTTCATTACATATTAAATATATGTAAAAGAAATTAGATCTGGGAGATGCTGCAGTCACATACCTGCAATTGAGATGATTCCCAGACTTCCCTGGCACTTTCAGTCAGTTCTGTCTGGTATTGAATGTCCAGGATTTTTTGCTGCCTAAACCAACTTTGCAGGAAAGAGGCCCAACCACCAAATGAGAATCAGGCCCTCGGATGAGTAGCACTCTAGTTACAGTCCTGTTGATTAATTTTTGCCATTTCACATCTGTAAAAGAGACCACCAATATCATGCACAAAATTAGATTTCTCACACTCTAACTGTATATTTGTATGATATTTTAAAATCTCCGAAATGCTGGGCAACGGCTGTTCACAATCGTCTTGCACTGGCCTTCTGATGAAGTGTTAACAATGCCTATTGTAATATAGACAAAAGACTCTGGGCTGAATGTATGTATATAGGTTTTAAAGGGTCAGATGTTTAAGCAGTGGCTTACAAATCAGTACTTTTCAGATAGGAGAGTTTCTTTACATTGCTGTGGCATCCTAAAAGCTCTCTTCATGTAATCTTACTGGACTAGGCCTCCTGGGGATCAGAGTCCCCAAGAAAGAAAACTTTTTCTTGTAATAGTATGAATCAAGATATCAGATTATCTGGATTCTTATTTCCAGTGTTTCAAGTGGAAAATGTAACTCTTTATTGTCTGTAAATCTAACATTATTACTTTTCCTCTTAGAAGAATATTGTATTGTTAGATGTTTGTTGAACTGGTAATATCCTTGCAACCGCTGTAATATCTTCGTTAGTAATCTGTACAATACCTTGTATACAAGTAATGGTAAGATTGTTATTAAATGTAGCTTCAGTCATTAAGTAACTATAGCAAAGTAGTACTTCTGTAATATTTACAATGTATTAAGCCCATAGTATATTTTATTTCATTGATGTAATTTAACTGTTATTTATTCAAGAGAAAACATTTCATCCTGTCTATTGTCCAAAGTTACCTGGAATCAAATAAAATTCTAGATTATCATGAAGAACATAAAATGCTTTTGGTCTCTGCCTTGTTTCACAGTCAGATGAGAAATCACTTGGGTTTCACATTCCAAAGAATTGCTGAACCACTAATTTGTTCTCCAAAGAGCACTTACAACTTTATTTGAAATGTGGGAACAGATTGATTTAATATATTCATTTTTAACATAGTAAAAACAGTGCAGAAAACTTTCATTTATACAAGAAAGCAGAAGCAGAATGACTGCTACTTCTTTCTTTCTTTCTTTTTTTTTTTTTTTTGGTACCAGGATTGAACCCAGGGCTGCTTAGCCTGAGCCACATCCCCAGTCCTTTTAATTTTTTATTTTGAGATAAGGCCTTGCTAAGTTGCTGGGGCTGGCTTTGAATTTGCCGTCTTCCTGCCTCAGCCTCCTGAGCTGCTGGGATTATAGGCATGTGCCACCATGCCTGGCCTGCTATTGCTTTTAAAGGCATTATTTCATTGAAGGTATTAATGATTTTGCAATAAATTAAAACAAACCTGGTCAAAATGTATAAATTAAATTGAGACTTAGCAGACATAATAAATATAAACCTAAAGAATCAGCTTTCTGTGGACAAAATACCTAACAAGAATAAGAGGAAGCAAAAGTTTATTTGGGGCTCATGGTTTGAGAGGTTCAGTGTGTGGATGGCTGACTCCATTGCTCTGAGCCTGAGGTGAGGCAGAACATCATGGAGAAGGGCATGGCGGGGCAAGCTGCTCAACTTATGGCAGCCAGGAAGCAAAGAAAAGAAGGGTCCAGGGACACATATTGTCCAGACCATGCCTCCAGAGACTTAATTTCTACATCCATGCCCACCTGCCTGCAGTTAACACTCAGTAGTCCTTTCAAATTATTAATCAAGTGGGTTAATTTATGGATGAGTTTATAGCTCTCATAACCTGATCATTTTGCCTTAGAACATTCCTACATTACCAATCACACAAGTTGGGGGGAGGCATTTCTAGATCCAAACCATGACAAACAGTTTGTAAAAAAAAAAAAAAAAAAAATCACATAATTTTTTTGAAAATAAAAAAGGAATATAATAAAGTTTAAATAGTTCTG